TCTGATTTGTGGGAGAGAGAGAGAGATTGCCTATAACAATTCATATGTCTTATGGACAAAGTTTAAAAGGCATAGCTTTCAGGAATTGTGTACCTAGTTTTTTTTCTCTTAAGAGCCCCTTAAAGAGAATGGAAGAACAGTGTTAACATTTGGACTTAAAAAAACTCAATTTTTTTCCTATAATTTTCAAAGAAAATACTGTAATTTCGAAGAAGTGCTGTTTGTGAATTATTGAACCTTATTTTGAAATTTATAAGGAGCATTTGGTTTACATCCTTTCCAGCTTCTATTTTTATGAATTCGTTCTTTTAAAATACCTAAATATCTTGGAGTTTATATGGTTTATTATAATAATTAAACAGTATATTTGGTTGTTTCTGAATTTTTTGTTCTTGATAATATAAGAATTTATAAAATTTTGATTCCTTCTCTAAAGTATTTATTAAATAGTTGTATGTTCATAATAAGTCTACCATTTAGTTGTGGTCATTTGCTTGTTTTGGTATTTTAAGAGCTTAAATTGATGAGCTTTATCATTGTTACAGCTTTGAAATAAAATTTAAAAATATACAGGTATAAACAGTATTATATTTTAACATCATTAATAGGGTATTTGCTTTCTTAGGTCCTTCTAAGGACTGAAGAATCTAGATCCATTGCAAAAATATGAAAAACATGACATTTAAATTAACTGTTTTCATCTTGAGTTCTCCCATACCATGTTATTTTTTTCTTATGTAGTATGTTGGACTCATTTGAAATATTTTAATTTTTGGTAGAGTTGTTTTATCATCTCTATTTGTCGTTTTCATCTATTACATTAACAACCTCTGGTTTTTAGTAGAATGCATCACCTTTCTATTTTTTCAAGTTCTTTTCTTAGTATTTATTGGTGTTTGATTCATTCTGAATTTCACTATTTTTGTTAGAAGTGATGGAAAGTGACTTTAACCCCCTTCTCATTGCCTCTTTAAAAATAGAGAGGCCATAGTTGCTTCTCTAGGGAATTTTGTCAAGGCAAAAGTTCCGAAATAAGGATGGTGTGTCCTCTGCTTCCATTTTGGTCTCTTTGACTAAGGTCACCTGGCTGATGATTCTAGTCTCTTAGGAATGCTTCTTTCCCACTACTTTAAAAATCACTGACTATGGTGCATAAACAATGAATCTTGGAACACTGAAAAAATAAAATTAAATTTAAAAAAAATCACCAAAATAGATTTCAATTAATGTTAAGTTTCTAATTCTCTTTGAATTATCTTTCTTGCCAGTTTTATGGTGGAAGTTTACTGATTTAGGTCTAATAGACTAGGATGTTTTTGCAGGAAATGCCAGAAATAATCAAATTCTGGATTATTATAATCCTGTATTTCTTAAAATGTTTATATCATTAACAGAAATTTATATTGATATTTGAGCCGTGGGGTAGATAGTCTCAAGGATCACTTCTGGCTTAATTAACATATGCCTTAAATTTTCATAGTGAGTTTGGTGGTAGTTTTAAGATAAACTGAATTTTAAATATGACAGACCATTTCTTCATCTTCTTGCTTTCTTCATTTCTTTATTCCTAAGTCAAAACAAAGCAAGACAAAACCAAACCAAACCAAAACAAAACAGAAACCACAATGTAAAAACATTAACTGAAGTTTCGGGGAAAAGTTAACCATAGTTCTAAATTTCCAAAACAGCTGTTACCATTTATTTTTTCATGTGTTACTCTGTTTTTGTCCACATATATGGATGTTTCATGTGATTAATATGTAGTTAAGATTATAGAGAACATTTATGAAACTTAACAATAAAAAGGTAAATCCTGGGGCTAATGAATATATAGTATGGGAAAAGAAAGAATAAATGGATAAATATTAGGATAAATAAAGGATGAATATTAGGCCTTTGAGCCATCCTAGGTCCAGCTGGGTTGTCTAATTTTAAAAATAAGGTGGTTCGAATTATTAGAAAATGAGGTGTTCTAAGATATCTAAAATTTACTCCATACTTACCCTTGGGCTTTTCAATTTTGGGGGATAGAATTTGTCCAGAAATATAAAGCATTTCTGGATATAAAAGAGAATGAAATTTATGTGGAGAGGATCATGCTTGAATTTCTTTTCCCTCGCTTACCATGTGATTAGGACAACACTGGTCACCTTCATGAGCTTCAGTAGGGATAAAAGTTGTTAACTCACAGAATACTTGAAGGATTAGATTTAAAATACTGTATGGTGACTAACATAATAAAATAAAAAATAAATAGTGAGTAAATACAGCTTTAGTGGCATCTCATAAAAAAATAAAAAAATAATAAAAATAAAATGCCAAAGTTGAATTCACATACCATGCAAATATTTGTAATTACGTAGAGACGTGAATAACTAACATATATAACTAATTGTATCTTTTTTGGTGAATATGGATATCATTAGTGTGATGAATGTCCTTTTGTGTAAATTTTGGTGGTTTAATACATTGTATAGAATATGTCTGAACTCCAGGATCTCATGAGGAAACCACACTTGTCCAAGAGTGCTTGTTACTCCTCAGTGACAAGGAGTGCTAATATATTTTAATTTCTACTTGTGTGTCGATTTTGATAGATCACACCATAGCCACTTAGCAGCATGTTAACATCTTTGAGTAACAGTTAAACATTTCTTTGTGTGATCCAAAAGTCCCATTTCTGATTATAAAAATAACACTTGGAAATTAAATTAAATTAAATTATTGAACATACAAATGTAAGTGGAATGTTTTTCTTATAGCCACTAAAAGGTGACTGGGTGTGCCAGAGGAAGAACAACTAATCCCATCTTTCTTTCCACACTGAGCAGCCAAGTTAGAGGAATCTGCAGGTTATGGTTGCTCGTGTTTGGTCTAGGATGAGTCATACAGCTCACATAAGAATACAAGTATAGGGTGGTGGTTAAGTGTTGTAATGGGTACAAATATGGTATGGGGCAAGTAGTAAATTCTTCTTTTTTTTAATTTAAAGATTTTATTTATTTATTTGACAGAGAGAGAGAGCACAAGTAGGCAGAGAGGCAGGCAGAGAGAGGGGGGAAGCAGGCTCCCTGCAGAGCAGAGACCCTGATGTGGGGCTCCATCCCAGGACCCTGAGATCATGACCTGAGCTGAAGGCAGAGGCTTAACCCACTGAGCCACCCAGGTGCCCTAAGTAGTTAATTCTTATAAAGGGAACAAGAGGATGTCTCCAAGGAAATGATACTTATGTGGGTCTTGCAGGCTGAACAGAAGTTCACCAGGTAGCCTAACAGCCTTCCAGGTCCAGAAAACTGCATGAGAAGACTTTCTGTGTTTAGTGTAATGCAAGTAATGGTGTGGTTTATAGAGGGCATAAGAAAGGGGTTGGGAGAATGAGCTTAGAGCCACTGCACTAGTACTGCATTTGACTTTTGCCAAAGACGGTGAGATTTTTATTTCTACCCCAGAGAAATGTTGAGAATGTTGTATAACTAATAAAAGGAGAAAGAATAACATAGCCAATCAACAGAAAATAACAAAGAAGTGTTTAAAACACGGAGAAGACATTCCAAATGTGCCCTTGCTGAAAACAGAGCATTTTGGGGGAAAGTGGGCAGTGTCCTATTCTAGTTCAACTAACTGGCAAATGCTTCAAAGAAGAGTTAATTCCCTATCCCACATCAGAAATGTATTAGTATAAGTAAACTGATTGATGACACAGCTAACCGATCTGCTATCACTTACCATATAAACGTTAAAATCCATTATGCCCTCAGCCACCAATGCTCTCTGATGTTCCAGAATTCACCGACAGGGTTAAAGGTAGCTTCACAAAAAGAAGTTAATGTAAATGGCCAAAAAATAATACACACACACACACACAGAGGTTTCTCTTTAAAAATTAGGACAGTGATAAGAGATACTTTGATAGGGGCACAGATAGGAAATAAGTAAATAGAAGAATTGACAGAAAAAACATATCCTATTCTTATTACACTTTTTTCCCATAGTGATTTTCTGATTTCCCCCTTTACTTAAAGCACTAGATATAGGATTTCAGGAAGCCAGGGTTCTATACCCAATCATATCATTTCTGAACACATACCTCATCCCAGAGAAGTCTCTTTACTTTTCTAGCCTTTGGTTTCCTCATTTCTTGAATGAAATAATTCTCAAGTAAGTTCAACAGGATGTAGCAGAGATGCTTCATAGGCTACTTTGGAAGATGAAGGGAGCTTCCTGCCAACCTTTCCCTTTCCAACAGAGCAGCTTTGCTTTTATTTGTATTATAGATGGAGCTTTCACAGGACTTTTTGATAAAAGGATTCTGTCACTTTTTAAAGGTTTGAAAATCAACGAACTAGACACTTCATAGGGCATATCCAGCTCAAACAATTTCCACATCGGTAGAATGAGGATAGTGACAGTTCATTTCATAGGTATCTGAAGGGCAAACATGATGTTACATGTAGAAGAAGGCATAGAATATGGGAAGCATTCAATATGTTAGCTGTTATCCATCCCCCACCCCAAATAGACCCCTCACAAATAAGACCATATTTCATCTGACTTTTAAACTTTGAGTATGCAGTGTTGACCTGAAAAAATTGCGGAATCTGTCTTATATCAAAAACACTATAAAAATGTCTTAGATATTTACTCTGAATTTTTAGTATAACCATTTTATTTCTAGTTTTTGTGCATTGCTTTTCCCTTCTACACTTGAAAGTCTTCTCCTTCTCCATCAGATTTTTGAAATAATTATGATCCGATACAACTATGAAATTATTATTATTTTTTGAGAGAGAGAAAGAAAGCATGAGTGGGTGGGGGAGGGACAGAGGCATAGGGAGAGAGAGAATATGTAGCAGACTCCTTGCTGGACCTGGAGCCTGTCACTGGGCTGGATTTCACTATCCTGAGATCATGACCTGAACTGAAATAGAGTTGGATGCTTAACCGACTGAGCCACCTAGGCGCCATACAATTATGTAATTATACACATCAATGTGTTTCAGGCTTTGCAGTGCTTGGGAAAGTGACATCAGCATCCACTCTCTAACCCTGCCCTCTGCAACCTGCTTGGAGCTGCTGCTGATATTATCAAGGAATAATGCCACACTGCCTCCATCCCTTCGCTCTATGAATTCCTTTCAGGTAAGTACACTTTAACCAGGAGATAATTTTTCAGTTTTACTTGTAATTTTGTTTTTAAAGATTTTATTTATTTATTTGAAAGAGAGGCAGTGAGAGAGAGCATGAGCAAGGAGAAGGTCAGAGGGAGAAGCAGACTCCCCATGGAGCTGGGAGCCCGATGTGGGACTCGATCCCAGGACTCGAGGATCATGACCTGAGCCAAAAGCAGTCGTCCAACCAACTGAGCCACCCAGGTGTCCCACTTGTAATTGTTTTTTTAAGGGTCTTTTATTTCACAGGAGATAGCCCACAGAACCCACAGTTCCAGATAATAATAATGATAAGCGCAATGCATGTAATGATTTGTCTGTCTCTTTGAAATAAATAAACAGTAGAGGCTCAGAATTGATTAGTTAATAGTCTAATGGTGGCAGAACCCATATCAGTCTAACTCCAGAGTTTGTTCTTTTAACCTCCATCTCTTGCGTCTGAGAGAAATGGCAAAAACACTTGACAAAGACACTGTGAATGCCACTTTCCTTTTCCTAGGTTTGCCCTAGAACAAAGATTTTCATCCATTATTAGTAACCTTGCTATTAGCTTGCAGTTGAATCACCAAATAGATGTTTAACATGGATGGTGCCCTACCCACTTCCAGGACCTTTTCCCTATTTCGTAAGTCCTCCCTCATCACTTGGACACTCCTTTGGATAATTATCTGTGCTCCTGGTAAAGGATATGGTCAGAATAGAACAAACAGGACAAAACAACATATGTGGTCTAATCAACAGGAAGACCTCCTCCTCCCTGGTAGGCAGCTCATTGTACTGAGGTGGCAAATGGGAATTAAATGTTAACTATTTGCTTAAGTTTGACCCATAGCTCCTGAATGTAACGTTGAACTTACCTATGACTCTTGACAATGGAAAAATAGTCATGAGCTCTCTGAGGCTGATGAAAAGGTCACATGCATTGCTGAGAAATGAGTAAACATAGGTTGGCTCTACTTCTGAAGGATTGTGGCTGCATCCTAAGATAACTTAAGGATCAGTGTAGATTGCTTGATATACCTCTGTGTTAAAACAAGATGTGGATTTTCTTGTGAATTACAGCTCAGGAAATTGTTTTAAAAAATTACTCCAAGAGAATGCTTCCAAACACATTTTACAAGGCCAGTATTACCCTGATACCAAAACCAGACAAGAATGCCACTAGAAAGGGGCTCCTGGGTGGCTCAGTCATTAAGTGTCTGCCTTTGGCTCGGGTCATGATCCCAGGGTGCTGGGATCGAGCCCAATATCAGGCTCCTTGCTTGGAGGGGAGTCTGCTTCTCCCTCTCCCACTCCCCCTGCTTGTGTTGCTGCTCTCACTATCTCTCTCTCTGTCAAATAAATAAAATCTTTAAAAAAAAAAAAAAAAAAGAATGCCACTAGAAAAGAACACTACAGGCCAATATCCCTGATGAACATAGATATAAAAATCCTCAACAAAATATTAGCAAACCTTTGAATTCAATATACAGTGAATATATTGACATTTATTCCAGAGATGCACGGATGGTTCAACATCTGCAAATCAATCAGTGCAATATACCACATTAACAAAATGAAGGGCAAAAATTAAATGATCATCTCAATAGAGTTAGAAAAAACACTTGACAAAATTCAACACCCATTAATGATTAAAAACTCTCAATAAAGTGGGTATGGAGGGAACATACCTCAACATAATAAAGGCCATAATATGACAAGCCCATAGCTAACATCATACTCAATGATAAAATCAGAAATAAGATAGGATGCTCACTCTCACCACTTTTATTTAACATAGTATTAGAAGTCCTAGCCAAAGCAGTTAGGTAAGTGAAAGAAATGAGAGGGATCAGAAGGAAAAGGAAGTAAAACTATTTACAGATGATATAGTACATAGAGAAAATCCTAAAAACTACCAAAGAACCAGTAGAACTAATGGAAGAAAAAGTTTCAAGATACAAAATCAATATACAAAAATCTGTTGTGTTTCTGTATTCTAATAACAAAATATCAAAAAGAGAACTTAAGGGGCACCTGGGTGGCTCAGTTGGTTAAGCATCTGCCTTCAACTCAGGTCATGATCTCAGGGTTCTGGGATCGAGCCACATGGGTTCTCTGCTCAGTGGGGAGCCTGTTTCTCCCTCTCCCTTTGCCATTTCTCCTGCTTGTGCTCTCTCTCTCTCTCTCTCTTTTTTTCTCTCTGTCAAATAAATAAATAAAACCTTTAAAAAATTAAGAAAACAATCCCTTTTCTAATTATATCGTAAAGAATAAAATACCTAGGAATAAATAAAGTTGAGGTAAAAAATCTGCACACTGAAAGCTATAAGACATTAATGAAAGTAATCGAAAAAGACACAAATAAATGGGTAGGTAGTCTGTGCTCATGGATTAAAAGAATTGATATTATTAAAATATCCATACCACCTAGGGCAACCTAAAGATTTGGTGCAATACTTATCAAAATTCCAATGGCATTTTCCACAGAACTAGACAAAGAATTCTTAAGTTTGTGTGAAACCACAGAAGACCCCAAATAGCCAAAGCAGTCTTGAGAAAGAACAACAAAACTGGAAATATTATGCTTCTGGAGTTCACACTGTATTACAAAGCTATAGTAATCAAAACAGTATGGTCTTGGCATAAAAACAGATACATAGATCAGTGGAACAGAATAGAGAGCCCAGAAATAAACCCCTGTGTATACATGGTCAACTAATTTATGACAGAGAAGCCAAGAATATACAATGGGTAAAGGGTCGTCTCTTCAGTGAATGGGTGTTGGGAAAACTGGACAGCCACAGGCAAAAGAATGAAATTGGACCATCTCAAAAATAACTCAAAATGGATTAAAGACTTGAGTTGTGGGACCTGAAAGTATAAAACTCCTAGAAGAAAACGTAGGAGGTAAGTTTCTTGACAATGGTCTTAGTGATGATTTTTTTAATCTAACACCAAAAGCAAAAATAAACAAAGGACTACATCAAACTGAAAAGCTGCTGCACAATAAAGGAAATTGTCAACAAAATGAAAAGATGACCTACTGAATGGGAGAAAATATTTGCAAATCATAGATCTTGTAAGGGGTTAATATCCAAAATATATAAAGAACTCCTACAACTCAGTAGCAAAAAACCCAAACACTTCAATTAAGAAATGAACAAAAGATCTGTAGAGACATTTTTCCAATTAAGTCATACAGATGGCCAACATCAACATACAGATGGTCAACATCACGAGTCGTCAGAAAAATACAGATCAAAACCACAGTGAGCGATCATCTCACACCTGTTAGGATGGTGATCATCAAAAATATAAGAACCAGTGATGGTGAGGTTGTGTTGAAAAGGGAAGCCTTGTGCACTCTTGTGGGAATGTATATTGGTGTAGCCCCTATGGAAAACAGAAGCCTGTTGGCCAAAAAATTAAGAATAGTACTAGCATATGATCCAGCAATAACACTGCTGCATGTTTGTTGAAAGCAAATGAAAACACTAACTTGAAAAGGTCTGTGCATCCCCACTTCATTGCAGCGTCATTTACAATAGCCAAGATATGGAAACAAACCGAGCGTCCCAACTATGGATGAATGGATAAAGAAGTTGTGGGGCATATATATGCAATTCAACCATACAAAAAAATAAAACCCTGCCATTTGTGGCAACATGGATGGACCTAGAGGAGATTATGCTAAGTGAAATAAGTCAGACAGAGAAAGACATACTATATGATCTCATTTATATGTGGATTCTAAAAAACAAAACCAAAGAAACCCAAGTTCACAAATATGGTAAGGACAAAACAGGTAAAGGTGATCAAAAGGTACAAAGTTCCAGTTATAAAATAACTCACTTCTGGGGATATAATGTACATCATGGTGACCATAGCTAATAATACTGTATTGCATATTTGAAAGCTGCTAATAGATTAGATCTTAAAAGTTCTCATCACAAGAAAAAAATTTTTGTAACTGGGATGGTGCTGAATGTTTATTAGACTTATCATGATGATCATTTTGTACTATATATAAATGTGAAGTTGTACACCTGAAACTAATATAATGTCATATGTCAATTATATCTCAATTAAAAATATTTTTTAAATAACTGCTCCAGTCTAATTTGCATGCATATACTCCTGGGAAGCTGTGATAGTTTGGGCTTTGTGTACCTGTTTTATTTATCAGCTTCAATCCTGAACTCTCAAAGAAACCTCTGAAAATACCATCTCATTTTGTAAGAGAGGAAACAGATTCAGAGAGGTAGAGTGGATTTGCCAGGGAATACCCACCGTGTTAGAGACAGAGCTGGACTTACCAGGCTTGTGTCCTGGTAATTCCACCTACTACCCAAACTCAGTACTTGCTGAAGTCCTGGAAGATGGAGGAGGTGTGAGTGGTAGATGGAGGCAAGTTGTATCTGCCTTGGAATGTTCACAAACACATCTTATTTTGCAGTTACTTATAATTATTTATATACTACCCTGAACCAGAAATGATTTAAAATTCTGTATTATCAATCCCTATTTCTTTTAAGTTTTGCTCATTGGATTGAACATTGAATAACATAAAAGTTTGTATATGCCCACAAACATTTATGGAGGGAGATGTAAGAAACTTAATAGTGGTTATCTTTGGGGAGCAAAGCAGTAAGACATTTACTATTTAAGTCATTTTCTCATATACTGTTTGAAATGTTTATATGATGGGTGAATGGGGATCAAGAGAGACGACTCTGACTTGGAGGATGTTATAGCGTATGAGGGAGATAGAATAATCATCCATGTGTGATATAAATTGAGAATAGTTTTATTACAAAGTAGCCTCAAGTCTTAAAGAGATTAAGGTAGAAGAGTAATTTAAACTGGGTGTGGGGGGAATTGAGAGGAGGCCCATCCTGCATTGTCTCTGAGACAGAGGAGGTCTTAATCCCTTGACGGATCTCAACTCAGGCTACCATGTCAGCGCCTGGGCACGAAAGGGCTGTGTGT